TGTTCCATACTATACTTTTTCTACGACCGTTAGTTTTTGGAAACGTTTTTGCAAAACAACAGGAATACATGCACGGACATGACCGTCAGAATTCACAAAATTCAAGCCGTGCGGTAAAATCTCCGAAAACATCGGTTTACATTTTTCTACTCCCTTCTGTGAAATACCTAATTAGATACCGATCTAGCATGCATTTTCGGAGATATTATGGCACGACTTAAATTTTGACGTTTGTCAGTTCTGTGTTGTGTTGTTTTGCGAAAATCTACCCAAAACTAACGGTCTTAGAAAAAGGATAGTATGCAATACGATTGACAAACATTTTAAGTCACGAGTTTATTAAATACTCGCTCCGCTCGTGCCAAATAAACTCGTGACTTAAAAAGGTTTCGAAACGTGTTGCATGCTATACTTTTCTAAGATCGTTTTCCACACTTGTTGCATAATATACTATACAATACAAAATTACAGTAAATAAATAGTTCAAGTTGTTTCAAGAATTGTTTTCCTTTTTTTTTATTTTATTTTATTTTATTGCGCATATATCCCGTGCTCAAAAACTCACGCTCCGGCTCTTGCTGAATTTACACAGTTATACATGTTTTAGTATCTTTTAAAGTAATGCTAGGGCTTGTATAGTCCTAGGAGTAGCCAAAAATATAGTACGAAAGTTAGGATTGAAGTTCTCTTCTAAATTTGAAAAGTGCAGCCTGACAATGAAAGTTTTTATTTCCTTTCGTATTGCTGACTTGCTGGGGAGCATAAATCTTCTTTTTTCTAAAATTTCGAGTTATCACTTTTTAATTTGCTGATGATGAACGGCAGTGTCGCGGCACAAAAACTGACAGCTAGTTTTTCTGATTCTACAGCACTTTTAATATCAGTCAAAGTTATACAAGTACACTAAAATCTCTATAAACAACGAGAAGAAACATTTTTACTTAAATGACTTAAATTGTGATTATAGTAACCACCTGGTATAGGGTCTCTATAGAATAGATATAGAAAGAGATAGATTTAGACAGAGCACTTTAAGGAGAAGTAGATAGTCATCAACAACACTAAATCGTTGGGATGTGACTGAGCAATATTTATAACCTTTTTGTTTTCTGTGAATTAAATTTTAAATGGGAGCCTTACATGGAGTAGTGGTAAGAAATTAACCTTAACAGCTCTTAGAAAATAAATATATAGCCGATAGAAAATTCGAAAGTAAACAATTATTCCCAGTTTAGAAAAAAAATTCAGTGGTTTGAAAATTATGTAGCTTTCTGTTGGAGTTATTCAACGAAAAGATTTGACTTTCTTCGAAGTTCAATGCCGTTTTATCTCACCAAACAAGTAAACAATTCTTATCCTAACGGGGGACATGTAAGTGGAAACCTGCAACACCATATAACAATCATTAACCACAAATAAAGATAGCGTTCTTAAAGCCGCACGTAACAATGTCATTATTTTCCCTAAACGCACATTAGTTAAGTTGTTAAGTGTTAACATGGACAATTTAGTGGTCTTCGTTTTATCGAAATACTTTTAACAAATTCCTAAATATCGACCATGTTTGGAGTAAGGTTAAACCACTGATGGAAAATTTTTAATAAAAAATTCTTGTATCTTAAATGTTGGAATATTCAATTTAGTTCATACCACATTACTATAAAACGAGAATTAAATTTACGGTCATGTCCTCAAAATATCTCGAACGTAAGACGGCTATAACGTATAAACATCGTACGAAAATAAAATACCGGATTTCTATGACTCACGCTTTTTGATGGTAGAAAGACGCAGGTAAATATTTTTTCGATGCACGAGAATCAGGCTTTGGGATAGCAGGTAATAAAACGCCATACGGCGTTATCTTATAAAATCCAAAGGGATCTTTCGTCTGATGTTCCGTTCGAGTATACTAACTTAAAAAATATCCTGTCAAATGCCAAATGGATTTGCTTTTCACATCCAGACTATTGTTTGCGTTTTTCGTAAGCTTAGTCCTACGTTAGTTATTATTCTGAAAAAAGTGTTACCTATTAATAACTACTGTTATTAATTGCTAAAACTAAGCATGATTCACCAAAAATAAATGAACATCCATGATGCAATGGTATTTCTACATAAGTTTAGGAAGAAAAGAAAGAAAAGAAAAAAAATCAAGAAAAATCACAGATCAGAATATTCTTTCCTCATTCTAACCTCATCTTCGATTAATTAGTAAAACGATAATAAATAAATGGTGCCCTTGTTTTGCATAGAATGGTAGTATGGAAACGAATGTGAAATATATAAGCATAGGCGTCCACTCAGTGCATGCATGCCTATCTGGAATATCAAAGTTGAAGTACAACAGAAGATCGGGATGACCTCACTAAAAATATACCCAAGTCTTCTTAGAGTTTTTGGTTACATTAAATTAGGCTTTATTACGCATCTAGGGCAACAGAAATAATGTAAAATTTTTTGTCGTTCGCAGTTTATGATGCAATGACCTATAATCTGAAGCATACACGATCTTTGTTCTCTGAGGAAACCTCGTTTATCGACATAGCCGGTTTGGAATTGTTCTACTTAGAAAAGATGAATTTTAGCTAGATCTTAAAATCTGAAATACGGAAAACTATTAATTATTCAAAAACTTTTTTCCTTATTTTCATAAAGCTTGACATTTTCACTTACCGCAATAATGGGCTTCTTTTAATGTAATTCAAAAAAGCGTTAATACCAGAAGTGTCACAGGGGGTATGATAGGAAAAATCGTTCTATGCCACTATTTTTTTTGTATGTCGAATATTTTTTTAAAGATTAGGCAATTAAAAATACGTAAACTGCTCGAAAAGAATAATGAAAACGATTTCTCTGTAGGTTCTTGGATATTAAAAATCCGACCGAAAATCTTTTTAATCTTTGTTAAAATGTGCATCATACTAAAACAAATAAAAATAAATAATATAAAACAAATTTCATGAATCGAGACCAAACATTTTATTTATTTTAGTGGAGATTAAATATTTTGTGCTTGGATTTTTAGTAATTTTTTTAAGTGACCTAGAAACCGTTTTTTTAAACGTTACTGAAAAACTGGGAAAGGCAAAAAAGTGTATTTTTAATAGCTCCACCTAAAAAACATATTAAACATACTGACAAACATTGCGATACAATTTATTCTTCAGTAAGTATCAATTAATGGGATTAGCACTTTCATTCTTTTGAGTTTACATTGTTTGATCTGCCCTAGCCCCACTACAGGTCGGAAGAATAAGTATTCTTTCCTTTCTTTTTTTTTGTTATTTTTAGAGTTTCTGTATTATATATATTGTGTCATATTTGTTTTGTGATTTTTTCAAGCGTAAGAAAATATTCATCGCATTTTTCAAAGTTTACTCACAATTATTACTTCAAATTAACATGCCAAGCTTAATCAACAGTTTTTTTAATAATTTATAAACAAAAACAAATTTTCAATATAAACTTTGACACCCTGTATCTCGAACACAAATCAAGTTTAGCTGAAAACGGATCTTCGACGTTTGACATTTTAGACCTGAATCACCTTGTTTCACTTTTTAGTTGTTCATCCTTTATAATGATTTTATAAGGCTCTGGCACTAACGAATAGAGCATAAACATCGAATTCACAAAGTGATAAAATCGTCAAAATTCACACAAAACTGCCATCACAAACAATGGATCAAATGAAAAAAAAAGTCAATTACAAGATCGAATACTTTGAAGTTTAACCCTCTATTTTTTATTTAATGTGGGATGTCATTCAGTTTTCTGTCTTTGAGCGAATAACACTTGCACGGAAAACAAAAGTTCTCTGTAAATCGGCAATTCATGCGTGCAATATTGAAAGAGATATTGCGGTGCGAAATTTGGTCATCCGTTGAAATTGGATTCTGTTCTTTCTCGGCATTAAGTAATCCATCTAAATTCAAGCAAAAAGGTCGGTACAGTTAGACTAAGGCGAGGTACCGTATACATCAGTCGGTCAGGAATATTAATCGGATGTAGCAGAATCAATTCACTTGTCACAAGAATTACTACGGTTTGAATTTGTTATTCGCTACGACTTTTTTATTGCTCGAACCACAATGTGGTGGTCTTTAATTTATCCATCCATCCATGCACTTCGACAGCATTTTTTCGATAATCCTCACCTTAAAATATGAGACACCTATATTATTTGTAAGTAGAATATTCAATGATATTTTGTGTATATTGTGGCTATAAGTTTTAATAAAAATTTTCATTGATTTATGAAGTTCAGAAGATTTATCTTCTCTCACACTATTCTCATGGAAGTGTTAAACAGATATGGGGTAAGACGGACCATGTTGGACGTCTTCAAAGCCTATCTTGCTGGTCGTACTCAATGTGTCAAGGTTGGAAATAATCTTAGTGACCTCAATGAAGTAAAAATATGCCTGCCACAAGATATTCGCCAATTCGATGAAGATTATAATTTTGTTATCTTTTACATATATTTATGAAAAAACCGTTGTATTACTTAGTTCCAGATCCATTTCAATTTGAAGTTTTTATGTGTCTATATTTTTAATATTACGCTTTGACTAATTTCACACACTCAACTTTAAATAAAATTGTTATATATGTTTCTCCTTATTTCTAATTCCTGTGTCTTTTAGGCTTTTGACTTCGGCAACACCTTTCCCTGGAAGTAAGGGTCCATTATTCATTCTGGATATTATTGTGTTTGTAGTGTAAAATACTGAACTTTATATTTTATCATAAAATTCAGGTCAGCATTTGCTTATATTGAAACGAGCATTGTGTCCAATTGATCCGAATTTCTGAAACAAATGAAACAACAAGTGCAATTTGTTTGTGCTGCCGGAAGAGTCTAAACAAGCGAGTGACTTTTATTAATCCTTGTGTCTTAAAATCAGATTTTCCACGCATTGTGTTTGATTTGTATCGTTAATTTAGTAACTTTCTGCTTACTAGGATTTTGTTGATTGATTTGTTGTTTGTTTCAGGCTCATGTTGATACGGATACCGGCGACCATATTGGTTGCCATAGTGACATTTCCAAGACTGATATTAGCCCAGGTAAATATTTTTGAATCACCGAATCCGAGGTGGAAGTTTCACAAAATATTTATTTACAAACTTCTGATTTCATTATACAGGATATACTGGATCTTGTTTGATATTATAACAATCTTGGATGCTCAGGTTAAAATAAGTATGTGCTTTAGTAAGGAATACGATATATAAATCTTAAGCTTTTTCAAAAAATGTTAATTTTGTAACCAATTTCAAAACAACCTCATTAGGTATGCAAGGGAACTACACAGTGACCCAGCGAATACCAGCGAAGCCACTTCCAGTGTTTGGTTTTAATTTTATTCTCGAATTTATACTTTTTATCAAGTTCAGAAAGTACTACGCGAGTTTGGGTCAATTCCCGATGTTTTGCTATTGTTATTTTTTATTTCTTATTATTGATTCTACAAAAAATAATCATCTCTCATCATCTATTAATGGTATTAAGTGATCGACGGTCCGATCGATCAAGTGGTGAAGATCCCAAATTTTCTGCTCTTTTTTACTACTTACTACTTTACTACTGGACTACTTTTTTCCAGTTCTTTAGTGTGACTTGCTCGATGACTTGTTCAAACCTAAACATTCAATATCGTGTTGTGTCTTGCTAGTTTTTTAGCAGATGTGGGCAACTTTAATGTGCATTCGCGGGCCGTATTGAAGAGTATTGTTTTAACAGATAGAACGATATCAGAAATGAAATACAACGACATTGTTATTTTGATACAATTTATTAAAATAAAAGAATTAAATAAAAAAAGTATGTACAACTTCATGATTAAATCGTAAAATTTGGAATTATTAGCAACTATGAACGTTAAATAGCGACACCGAAATCAACGAGGCACTTGAATTTGAATTTGGGAAACTAATTCGTCCATGTTTGGACTAATCCCACTGACACAACAACGTAAAAAAAATCCAAATGACCAATATTCGATGTTTTCCGTTCGCATTTATAAGTTCTGTCAAACGTATTCTGTTCTGTCTTTTGTATGTTTTTCAAATATCTAAGTTTCTTCGAAAAATGTTCCGCATATTGACGATAAACAATATTTTCATGGGCAGAGAGCAGAGTGAAATGATAACTGTTACCAGACAGCATCTATGCCTTCCACAAGTGTATTTTGTTTTGAAATGCTTTCAAATGACCGTGCAAATTATTTACTAACTGTCCTTGTTTTTCAAGTTTCAAATTTAAATGATTCAGATGGTCTGTAAGGTCGACCAGAAATCCTAAGTCACATTTCCATTTTGGATCGCTCAATTCTGATTGTGGTTTACCTTTTATTTGCATAAAATCCGCCATCTCATTTCTAAGCTCGTAAAACGGTTTCAACATTTTCACTTTTCTCAGCTGTCTGCAATCTGACTTTACAATAATATGTTGCGTCGTCATATTCGGTTGATATTTCACCCAAAAACTGGCAATGGTTAAGCCTTTCAAATCGAATAAAATCCATCGTTTTTACTACCACATTCATAACATTCTTGAGTCGAATGGACCTAGAACACAAGTTCTGTTGCTACATAATGCAATCAAGGATTATAATCTTTGTGCACATTTAATTCAGTTGCCTTTCCATTCAACATTCCGATGAAACTTTAAGTGGAAGACACACCATCTGTGCATACTAAAACTAATTTTGACCATGGCAAGTCAAAACTTGTGCATATCTTTTGCACTTCATTAGAAATATTCTCTCCTGTAGTCGTTCCTTTTACTGACTGTAAAGCCAGCAATTCCTCAGTAACAGAGAACTCTTTAACGACACCTTGAATAAAAATAGCCAATTGAGCCATCTCGTTCTCAGTGATGCCGGTGAACGCTTTTAGCTGCCATTATATTCCACAACGGATTTCAAAAAAATATTTTTACGTAATTTTGCTATATGTAATAGGTCCTTCTTTAATAAATCATCTCCAAATTCAATATTTTTGATTAACCAGTCTATAATTTCTTTTCTTTTTCTTTTTTCTCAAAGATGAAGTTGAAGTCCTGTCTGTGCATCGTGAATGATAGTTTGTGTAAAACTACTACTGAATCATCCGGAAAATATTTTATCTTTTCATTAAAATAGTCTTCAAAAATATCATAATTCATATCCTCTTGGTAATTACGTAAGCCTAATATACATTAAAAGGTAACAGCAGTTTATAGTTTATATGGCAGTTATAACACAATTCCAATCTGAAACAGGAAGTGTAAAATATAATTTACTAAATTTATGTGACTATAACTAAATTCGTTTAAATAAAGAGCCACATTAATATTATAACTACCTACAGCTAATTCCAGGCGTTTTCACAAAATTAAGCAAATTATGAGTTGTTTATCCCATCTCACCTAGGTCTCTAATTTAGCCTGGTTTTGCTATAAAGTGTACTTATTAGGTGGCGTGCGAATTTAGACATTTTATGTGGCTCAATACCAGTTAAATTGCTCACGTTATATTTAGAGGTGGGTATTGCTTCTCGTTCAAGCGATCATCGCCTGCTTTGTTTTAAATTTTGACCACCAAGGTGTTTATGCCTCCCGTCGGTGATCGTAGGTAACAGTGATTCGAATATTTAATGTGATGACATGATTGTGAACTGTAAGAATGTTCATAGTACAATCAGCCCACCTAAAAAACAAGTTATAACAAAATAACAACTCTTCATACTAGGATAGGATATCAAATCTCATTGTAGTTCGACTATCAATTTTCTAATTCTATGGTAGCTTTTTAAGTGTAACTTTGTATTAGAGGTGACAGCATCGGCTGTTGGCGTCATCTCTGCTCTTTTCCTCGCTAGGAGCTTGGCTTTTTCGTTACCTTCCAGGCTACTATGCACTCTATATAGAGACTTTTCTACAGTTAGTATATCTCTTTTGGGTTCATATCCCAATTCTTGGCTAAGTGCCTTGGGCATGTCGAATATGATTTTTCCACTTTCCTGAATGTCCTCTCAATAGAACAGTTAAAGTTCAGTGATTATCTAGAGTAGCACCCAAATATTTTGCATCTGTTGAGAACTTCAACTTGGTTGACAATAGAGTCAATATAACTAACACTCCTTTTATTTAGGTTTTGTCTACCTACGATATGCATAAACATTTTCTTTTGTACATAGAATTACTTATACATGGTGTTTCACAGGGAACTAAAAAACTAAACTAAAAAAAATGAGTGTTGACATATTCATTAACGCTATTTTAGCAGCCTATTGTTGCTAATGCTGGACAACCAAAAGTTTCCAGTAACAGTTTAGCCGAATTTCAAACGTTTTTTTTTAATGTCCACTTATTTTATTAAATATGCTAATGAAAAATACAGATGTTTACATGGTGATCTAAATTAAGTGTTTATCATTCTCAACTTTGTTATGAGTAGAGATACAAATTCGATTAAATTAGCAAACTACTAGCATACTAGCATTTCTTCCACTGATTACCAGAAAAAACAATTGAATATGGAGTTTAGGAAAAAATGAAGAAAATGTACCCTTGGTAAATGAAACACCCTGTATAATTTTCACTCTAACGTTCGTAAATCACCAACAGAACAAAAATGGTGAGTTCAAATATCACCACGTTCCTCTTTTAGACTAAATGGCTATTTATTTGAGAGTAAGAAAGATGGAAATAAGACAATAAAAAAATAAAATAAAAACATAATTAATTCATGTTCAACTAATAAAGTTTTTTTAAGAGGTGTTCAAAAACCGACCTCGTACTTTAATACATTTTTGAGTACGCTTTTCCATTTAGCGAATTGCTTTTAGTACTGTTCTTTCATATATCTGGTTTATTTTTTCTCTTATTGCAGTCTTTAACAAATTGTTGGTGTCTTTGCTTGGAAAATTTCGTCCTTTGTGTCCGATTAAATTGGATTTTCACACATCTTGAGAAAAAACCGCCGCAAAAAATATTTTTAGTAGTGCTTCATAAGTTCATGTATTATCAGCTTTAGACAGGCCTCTATATCTCTCGTAGCTATATGCTGAGGACAAATTATATTAGGACAGTAATATGATTTATATTATGATATGCTGTAAATAACGGTAAATATTTTATGAGTGGATGCTCTAGTACGTATTTATGATAGTAAGAACAAAAGACTAAAAACATTAACAATTCAATCGCTGAAAGTTCAGTATTAACTGTAATTTTTGTTGCAGAATTCAAATTCAAATAGTCTATTCACCTGTCCAAATGGTAAGTATTTTTTTATTGTATCATTTAGGTATTCTGATTAATTAGTTGATTAGGTTTTGATCAGTAACGTTTGAGACAATAATTGCTAGCTTACAGTACAGAATTAAAGTTTACAAGTGGAACTCAAACGCAGCGTACTGAATATCATAGGCCATCAAAGCTGCGTATAAAACCGATGCGCTTCTATAGAAATACTTTCTATTTGTGCGGACTAAGAGCGTGTTTTGTGTGAATAAAGTATTCTTTTAGGTCGTAGAAATTTATAATACTTGCAGCCATTAGGATTACCTATTTTAAAACAAGTATTATAGGAAGCTATAGAACGCCGTATTACTATTTGATGAAAATATTATCCTACAAGAATTATTATAAAACAATACTTTAGTAAAGTTAAATTCAAAAATTTTCAAAACTTAGATTGAAATTTAAAATGTTAAATAAAATGATTTTTTAAAATGAAATGCTACACCACCTACCTAACTGTGACCGACAAAAAACAATTAACATTATAAAAAAAACAATCATAACGTACATAAAATACAGAGACAATTTAGTTCGTCAACCCAAATACTTGTAACATAGTTATAACATTAATTTTATTTCTTGTATAATAGAAATGTTGTCAATCATATTTTTAAAATATTTTACGCCGGTTTTTTGAAGTCACGATGCCACAACTGGAACTCTTATTTTTTTGCCTGCTTTCATAAAAATTAGAAGAGCTGAATTCACAGACTTCATTTATATGATTTATGTTAACTAACTTGCAGCAATTACAAAATTATATTGGTTATAAACACTCATTTGGGCGTAAAAATAATTTATCCGATATATGCCTTAAAAGAGCTGCCACAAAAGGGAAAATAATTATAATGGTTCTAATAACTTCGGCAAAACTTACATAAAGCTCCGTAATATGCAGCGCCCCATTAAATTGTGAAAATTTTACATTTAAAATCAGAAATATCTCAAATATCCTAATTCTTTTTATATGACAAATATAACATGAAATTATGATGTTCGAATATGATTGAAACAAAAATTTTCTTGTAAATAAACGCACCTACAAACATGTCTATAATTATTCACTTCTTTTCATAGAGTAAAGAATAAAGCAGTGTTCAAAATACACAAAATATTTACCATAATTATAATTTTTTATAGTCTGAGTTCTTTCTACTTTTAAACTTAATCTTAGCAATATGCGATATGCAAAATATGAAACATATGACAAATATACCGACGGAAACCAAAAATTGTCTTGTAATACAAACGTACCTAAAAACATGTCTATAATTATTAATTTCTTTTCATAGACATTCATTCATGTTCACGTAATCCTTAGAGGAGAATTTTTAGGAGTGCCATAACTGAGTCACTGCTGCTAACAACAAGATATTTAGTAACAATGCCTACGAATATACTTTCACAATCAATATTACCATAAAAACAGACGGGATCGTATAATTTTTTAATGTGGGTCTTGGAGATTTTGTGTTCATTGTTCCTCCATTTTCTAGAAGAAAATAACTATAATCGCATTTTGTAGTTTGCCTAAACAATTTTTGGCTTCCTTATTCATGTTCACTATGAACCGGGTGTCCCAGTAGGCGCAGCGAGGTACGGTACTAGTGAAATAGACGGTCCTAAGAAATCGAAAAAAAAAAAATAGGTAAATCCAGGATCCGTAATTGTTCCCTTGAACTTTAAAACTCGGGTTGTAAAAAAATGCTTAATGTTCACCATAGTTACAGTGAGCACTGTCTTAAAGCTGGGAAAAATTAAACTATCTCCGCAAGGAAAGTGGTAAGTAATGTGCGTATCTCCAAAAAGGTTTAACGAATTTCAATAAACTTTTTAAAAAATAATTTTCAGAGAAGACAATATCTTCGATTAAATATTCATACAAAACTTACCAACTCACCTTAATATTTTTATCCTAAACTCAAATATGAATAAAAGAGCTTGGCGTTAAAAAAATACAATTTTCAAATCTTCTGCATTCCTCCTGCGTGAGTTGTTTATTAATCGAATATATACAATACACAATACAATACAATACAATATACTCTGGAAGTTCATTTAATTTAATTTATTATTTAAAATCCAAATGAAATTCTGGTCATCATCTTTAACTTTTTTTTTTAATCTTTTCGTTTGCACAAAATTACGCAGTTTAATTACCATTTAAACACTAGTATTACTAATATCCGGAAGATCTCGGGAAACAATTTTCATTGTTTTCTTCAATATATATTCTACATTCTCTTGTGTTAGGACAATTATTGGACAGCGTTTTTGATAATTGACTACCACTCCACGTTCAAGGTTACTAACAATTCGTGAAAAAATATGTTGCAGGATACAACAACCTATATTCTCTTAGGGCTAATGGTCAACTCCTAATATTTCTTATTCAGTCAAGATCTAAACGCTCCTGACCACTGTAACAATTATATTAGTTCTTTTTATTCCATGGATGTCGTGTGAAAATAAGATCCCGCAATAGCATTTTTACTATAACTTAAATTGAAACCATGTTTACGGGAGGCAGAAAACGTTTTGTAATTGGTAATACATTCTATTTACTTGTATTACTTGTTGATTCTCTAGTTTCAAAATTAATCTTCGTGAATTTAAGTAATTAATGAAAAAACAAACTTAGCATAGGATATTACATAGGTTTAGTTAGACTTAAAATAAAATATACGAGTTATAAATATATTTTTTTAATACGAAAACCATTTTTTGAAGGTCATGCTTACCCCCTGTATAATATATTTTCACCATAGATGGGTCAAAGTATTAAATATTAACAATTTCAATGCATTCATAATAAAAATCCCAAAATTTAGTTTTCAAGTGTATGAAATACACTACTCAAAATTTCGTTTACTGTGTAATAACAAAAAGTACTCAAAATCAGGCGAATAACGATTACCGTTTGGATCGCCAACCTTCGGCAGATGAGAGCGTAATAAGATTCGCTATTGTAAACAAATTGCTGTTCCGATAAATAAATCCGACAACATTGCTATCTACGACAATGCGGTAGGAATATTTCATTATTACCCAAGCATTCACATTTTTGTACCGGTTCCGTACGCTCAGCAGGAATTTACAAAAATGTCAGGGCCGCGTCATCAACCACTGAGGCAAACTATCAAATCACCGCCGAGAAACCTGCCAAGGTGTTGCCAATGTTACAAAAAACACGCTCCTCGATCTAGAAGTGCAAAACATAGTTACACAAAGATGCAGTCGACATGAATTCTGTCATCAAAATAAATCCGGTAATGGTTTAGCTAATGTTACGAAATTCTGTTGAAACTATATTAAAGTTTTACAATAGTTATTACTGCCTGATCAAAAAATAAAAAGTTTATGTTGAAGTCGTCTTTAATCCATTCGTAAACTAACACTGCACTGTTCTTTTCTAGGATGGGAGCTTCGAGGTCTGTATTGTTATAAATTCTTTAACATCAGGCATTCTTGGGAGAAAGCAGCAGAGTTATGCAGAAGGTAAGAAATTATTCTAGGCTAATACGAAATACGTACACACGGTAACGATATAGCGTAAAATGTTTACAATATTTACAATATTTTGAAAAAAAGTCAACAAAACTATGCATTTTTTTAATGACTATATCATTGTACTAATTCATGTTATTGGAAAAAATACATGTATTATTATTATTATTATTATTATTATTATTAATTCTAAATTAAATCTATTAATTCCTACGGGGCTTTTATAAGGTCTTGACAACGTAAACGCAAAATTGAATCTACTTTGTGGTCTTCAATTAATACACTTGTTTTTATACTTGGGTTTTAAAATATACGGGGAATGTTCAAATAGTAAGGCGACGATTAAGTTTGATCAAAAAGTATTTATTTATTTATCAAAATTATACTTGTCCCCCTCAAAGTAACCCCCCCCCCCCACTTGTGCCAACATTTTTTCCAATGCTCGAAGTACTTTCTCGTATAGCCTTGAGTTCTTCGAGTGATTTTTTCTTTATCTCCTTCTTCCTTTCATGGGTTTTGGCAACAGGAAAAAGTCGCAGGGGGCCATTTCCTGTGAATATGGTGGCTGAGGCATGATAGTGGTTTTGTTTTTTCCCAAAAAGTTAAATACAAACAACGATGCCAAATTCATGATTTTGTTTCCCATAATTCCGAACGTTGTCTTCGTATTACTTCTCGCAAACGGCGCATAATTTCAAAGTAAAACTCTTTATTGATCGTATGATCTTTTGGTAAGAAGTCTTGATGTAATACGCCAAGATAATCAAAGAAATCAGTAAGCAAAACCTTGATATTTGACGTGCTTTTTTCGGTCTTGGCGATTCTGAGTTCTTTTATTGGGACGACCGGGCTTTGGTTTCGACATCATAACCATATAGCCGTGATCCATCACAAGTTGTTTGTTCAAAATTAAGCAGTTTCGGAACAAATTTCCTGTACCCATTTCATGCCCAAAACTTGGGTCTTCAGTCACTTCTCAAATAGTGATTCGACGATCTTTCTACACCATTTGCGTCACTTCTTCAACGCTTCGATGTCTTCTCCGCCGTCTTGGAACAGCTTGTACCACCAAATAGATCCACCGTATGCCGTTGTCAACATTTCAAGTGTTTTGCAGCACTGTGTTTCATATGTACACCAAATTGTATGCAAATTCTTTGCTCGATTTTTGTTGACAGCAGAAAATCGCCGAGCACGCAAAACACATCTAACGCTTCTGTCTCACAAAAAAAAGTAAACTTGCAAACTGGCTGAAACTGTGAACACATGGTAGCGATATGTGTACCAACATGACAAAAAAAATATCGAAGATCGGATGTACTTAGCCCGCCCAATTTCGAAAGTCGCCTTTATTTGTGAACACGCCTCATATATATAAAATACAATTTATACAAATACTCAAACAACTATAAATATCACTATTACAAAAGTTGAAGATAAATATTATATTATATGACAGGTTTGACAAATGCCATTTTAGGTTAGTTTTCGTTAGATGAATTTTAAGAAAACACTTTATTAGTATTATTATTATTAGTATTCAGTCTAATCCATCTAACTAGTTTGATTCCTTTTTCTTTAAATTAGAGTGTACCAAAAAAAAATGTTAGGTTGGGAAAACGTAAGAAAAAATGAAATTTTACATTTTTTTTAAAATAACCTTTTTAATATTTTTTATAAAAAATGTCAGATTTGAAAAAGAACATTGAAAATCAATTTATTTATTATTTTTTAACAAAAACTATGCTATTGTCCAAAATTTTCCAAATCGCATTAACACAAATTGTTACCATTGGATGCGAACTTAGCAGTTACTATCACATTTTTGTGAAATACCCTGCATAATTGAAACTTGTAATAAATATGTAGATAAATTTTACTTTAGTTGCTTTTGCATTTTGCTACATTGTTAGTATCACCCTATATATAAAAAGCTTATAAAAACATAAAATAATTACAAAATCATAATTCAACAACAATTTACCAAATTAATGACAACAAAATTAAAATCATTTTAGGAGGAGGGAGACAATTTAAAATGAAAATTGAAAGTAAAATATAAAAAAATAAAATCAATATCGTTATTTTATGAATCGTAAAAATTAAGTAATTAGGACTTCCAAAGCAATCGCTTTTTAGCCAACCGTCAATAACAACATCGTATACAGGGTGTTTCAAAACAAATGCGAGAAACTTAAGAGAACGATTCCTTGTTTAGAATAAAAGATATAAAGGTTGGATCAAAAGTCAACCATTAGTCAATATTTTCGATTTATTTTTAAAAAGGAAAATAAATAGAACAATAAAATATTGCAGAAGTATTATTATTATATAAAAACTCTATCTGAAAAGTTTTTTATATTTTTAAAACGCATGTAGGGGATTGGAATTAGACAGTCCAACTTAATTGTTTAACCTAATTTAAAGAAAAATTTACTCAATGACAAAAAAATTGTTTCGATAGACGTATTCATTAGAAAACTTTTTGTAACCTGAAATTTTTTCATTAAGCTCACAGTTTCCAAGTAAAATAAAAACGTAAAGCATTGTATGCCAAAAAGAAAATTGTTTTATAAGAATTATATAGTTGGTTGGTGTCACAATTAGACTTTAACAATAATATTTTAATTAACATTCCTGAAACAATAGATCAAAGCACAACACAACAAATTTAGTTATTTATTTAATATTATTAATTTATTAATAAACGTCTAATGTTTCTCTAAAGGTAGCGTTTGGAACTCCATTGTCTAAAAACGTTTTTAATACGTTTCGGCTAGTAGGATGTTAGGTAGCGAGGAAGCAACGTCATCGGTTGGGGACCATTGACCTTTTGTAATATATGGAATATACAAGACTGGACAAAGACTGGGTACAGCTAGAACATTTCCTGGATCAGATTAATGGCGTCACTCGGCCAAAAAAATGCGCAATGGAGAAAGATAAAAATGGAGCCATGCCATCTCGTGACCCAGACCTTGATATCTAAACACGTCATCCAACCACTCAGTAACAACCAAATGAGGAATAATCCAATCACTGTATGCAGCAACCAAACTCTACTTAACGACGAAGTTGAACGAATTAAAGAAAATCTAACGCAAAACGGGGACTCATTGAAGACGTCATCACTAAGTGTCAATACCAAGTTGCACATAAATCAGAGTCCAGCCACAACCAACTAATGACCGTTCCAAAAAGGAATTTTTTAAAAAAGATCAAAAGAATTGCACAAAAATACAACGTCAAAACCGCCTTCTGTTGTGGACAAATTACAAAAAGTTTAATAACGAAAACAAAACCACGAGGAATATCACAGACAACAAAAACTGTATATACGAAGTGCCTGCGAGTATGAAAAATCTTACGTAAGCGAAACGAAGCGACCACTAGATGTAAAATGGCAGAACACAAGACGTGGACAAACTTTGAGAGAACTTCGCAGAATCAAATGGACCGATGCCAGAATTCTACAAAAGGAAACTCACTGGACGAAGAGAAAATTCATAGAAGCTGCCTTCTAGGGGTAAATTCGACCGTACCGCTCAGTTTTAAATTAACGGCTAGTGCTACATTCTTGCCGAAACGTCGTCTTAAAAATCTCCAGATACTATAGTCCTATTAAGTAGTTTTCATACCTACGATTTAGCTGAAATGTGCTGGGGCCCCATCTTGCATAGACAGAGCTACATTTTTAGCAAAGGACATAATTATTCATGTAGAAACCGAGCATAGGACTCACCAGTTAATCTTAAACGTAGAAAGGCTAATGTGCTAATCAAATGTCAATGGCAAACTGATATTGATCTGCAATCTGTTACTGAATTCACAGTTTTGAATTGAGTCCCTTGAAAAACTACCTTCGTCACAAAAAAAAATAAACAAATAAGAATTTGTCCGTATTTATTTGTTTTTATTCGGTAAAACCATGGGTAAAAAGTCAGCCTCGATTCGATCTCTTTTTTATGGTGCTTGTCTCCGGTTGCGCTTGAATAATATTTAGCACAAGAATTTCAATCCGCCTGTTCGAACTCCGCAGTGTCAAAACTCTTGTTTTAGATACTTATGTAGCATTTGATGTTAAACACGTAGTGATGATAAACTCTACGATAAAGGTACACTCCTATATAAACACGACAAGCTTAAGTTTGCATGAACCTACATAGAATTCAAATTTGCCATTTGTGTAATTTGTGTAATTTGTGTAATTTACCATTATTCTGTAATACTATTTACAAATTTTTGAAATCCTTCTGCGTGGGTTGTTGATAAGTCGAACTTGGTGGCGTTTCGCCAATAATCCTATTGTCTCCTTCTCCCTCTCCTTTATTAACTAAAACTGGCTCGCATTCTATTCCGTAAATACTTATATAGTATTTGAGAGGCACAGCTAAAGGAAGAACATGACCATTGCCCAGAATGATTTCCCTATTGGTTAAAGATCATGACGAGAGATTTCTATGGATGCTCAGAAGAATTGATTGCAGTCTGAAGGCGCTTTCATATTATTCTAGCCCAGCCCGATTTTATTTGATTGACATTGGTTTTCTGGTAAAATATCTAGCTTCTATATTAAAATCTTTTACCGGGAAAACTGATAGTTTGGTACTTCATTTCTTTCATTTCATTGAACAATAGTAAACATTCACATAGACGTAGAGTCCCTTTTTACTGAAGGCCTATTCCTGAAGCTCTGAACATTATTTCAGATATATTAAAATCCTCCAATGTGGAATCAAAAGTTCTCATCTTAACCCTAATTGAAAAATGCTTGCCTAGAATATATTTGACTTATAACAGTCAAATTTATGGTTGTCCATTATCGCCAGTCAATGCAATTATAATGAAAGATTGGAGAAGAAAACTCTTGACCCCTTCTATGTAAACCGAAGATTATGGAAGCGCTACGTTGATGTTATTTTCAATATTTGGTCCTCATGGCCCAAAAATTCGTCCGAGATTTTCTTAGCCATTAACATATTATACACCCT